TTGAAAAAATATTCTTTAAAAAATCCACGTTTCTTGGTCTTTTGGTCCTGAAAAAATATTCTTTAAAAAATCCACGTTTCTTGGTCTTTTGGTCCTTGAAAAAATATTCTTTAAAAATCCACGTTTCTTGGTCTTTTGGTCCTTGAAAAAATATTCTTTAAAAAATCCACGTTTCTTGGTCTGTTGGTCCTTGAAAAAATATTCTTTAAAAAATCCACGTTTCTTGGTCTTTTGGTCCTTGAAAAATATTCTTTAAAAAATCCACGTTTCTTGGTCTGTTGGTCCTTGAAAAAATATTCCTTTAAAAATCACGTTTTCTTGGTCTTTTGGTCCTTGAAAAAATATTCTTTAAAATCCACGTTTCTTGGTCTTTTGGTCCTTGAAAAAATATTCTTTAAAAAATCCACGTTTCTTGGTCTTTTGGTCCTTGAAAAAATATTCTTTAAAAATCCACGTTTTCCTTGGTCTTTTGGTCCGTTGAAAAAATATTCTTAAAAAATCCACCGTTTCTTGTCTTTTGGTCCTTGAAAAAATATTTCTTTTAACCAATCCACGTTTCCTTGGTCTTTTGGTCCTTGAAAAATATTCTTTTAAAAAATCCACGTGTCTTGGTCTTTGGGTCCCTTTGAAAAATATTCTTTAAATAAAATCCACGTTTCTTGGTCTTTTGGTCCTTGAAAAAAATATTCTTTAAAAAATCCACGTTTCTTGTCTTTTGGTTCCTTGAAAAAATATTCTTTTAAAAATCCACCGTTTCTTGGTCTTTTGGTCCTTGAAAAATATTCTTTAACAAATCCACGTTTCTTGGTCTTCTTGGTCCTTGAAAAAATATTATTTACAAATCCACCGTTTCTTGGTCGTTTGGTCCTTAAAAAAATATTCTTTAAAAATCCACGTTTCTGTGGTCCTTTAAAAAATATTCTTTTAAAAAATCCACGTTTCTGTTGGTTCTTTAAAAATATTCTTTAAAAAATCTACGTTTCTGTTGGTCCTTTAAAAAATATTTTTTAAAAAATCCACGTTTCTGTTGGTCCTTGAAAAATATTCTTTAAAAAATCCACGTTTCTGTTGGTCCTTGAAAAAATATTCTTTAAAAAATCCACGTTTCTGTTGGTCCTTGAAAAAATATTCTTTAAAAAATCCACGTTTCTGTTGGTCCTTGAAAAAATATTCTTTAAAAAATCCACGTTTCTTGGTCTGTTGGTGGTTGAAAAAATATTCTTTAGAAAATCCACGTTTCTTGGAGGGGTGGTCCTTGAAAAAATATTCTTTAAAAATCCACGTTCTTGGAGTGGTGGTCCTTGAAAAAATATTCTTTAAAAAATCCTCGTTTCTTGGAGTGGTGGTCCTTGAAAAAATATCCTTTAAAAAATCCACGTTTCTAGGTCTTTTGGTCCATGAAAAAAAATATTCTTTAAAAAATCCATGTTTCTTAGTCTTTTGGTCCTTGATAAAATATTCTTTAAAAAATCCATGTTTCTAGGTCTTTTGGTCCTTGAAAAAATATTCTTTAAAAAATCCGTATTTCTTAGTCTTTTGGTCCTTGAAAAAATATTCTTTTAAAAATCCACTTTTCTAGGTCTTTTGGTCCTTGAAAAAATATTCTTTAAAAAGTCCACGTTTCTTGGAGTGGTGGTTCTTGAAAAAATATTCTTTAAAAAATCCACGTTTCTTGGAGTGGTGGTCCTTGAAAAAATATTCTTTAAAAAGTCCACGTTTCTTGGAGTGGTGGTTCTTGAAAAATATTCTTTAAAAAATCCACGTTTCTTGGAGTGGTGGTCCTTGAAAAAATATTCTTTAAAAAGTCCACGTTTCTTGGAGTGGTGGTTCTTGAAAAAATATTCTTTAAAAAATCCACGTTTCTTGGAGTGGTGGTCCTTGAAAAAATATTCTTTAAAAAATCAACGTTTCTTGGTCCTTGAAAAAATATTCTTTAAAAAATCCACGTTTCTGTTGGTCGTTGAAAAAATATTCTTTAAAAAATCCACGTTTCTGTTGGTCGCTGAAAAAATATTCTTTAAAAAATCCACGTTTCTGTTGGTCGTTGAAAAAATATTCTTTAAGAAATCCACGTTTCTGTTGGTCGTTGAAAAAATATTCTTTAAAAAATCCACGTTCCTTGGTCCTTGAAAAAATATTCTTTAAAAAATCCACGTTCCTTGGTCCTTGAAAAAATATTCTTTAAAAAATCCACGTTCCTTGGTCCTTGAAAAAATATTCTTTAAAAAATCCACGTTCCTTGGTCCTTGAAAAAATATTCTTTAAAAAATCCACGTTCCTTGGTCCTTGAAAAAATATTCTTTAAAAAATTCACGTTTCTGTTGGTAAAAAATATTTTTTAAAAAATCCACGTTTCTGTTGGTCCTTTAAAAAATATTCTTTAAAAAATCCACGTTTCTGTTGGTCCTTTAAAAATATTCTTTAAAAAATCCACGTTTCTTTGGTCCTTGAAAAAATATTCTTTAAAAAATCCACGTTTCTTTGGTCCTTGAAAAAATATTCTTTAAAAAATCCACATTTCTTTGGTCCTTGAAAAATATTCTTTAAAAAATCCACGTTTCTTTGGTCCTTGAAAAATATTCTTTAAAAAATCCACGTTTCTTTGGTCCTTGAAAAAATATTCTTTAAAAAATCCACATTTCTTTGGTCCTTGAAAAAATATTCTTTAAAAAATCCACGTTTCTTTGGTCCTTGAAAAAATATTCTTTAAAAAATCCACGTTTCTTTGGTCCTTGAAAAAATATTCTTTAAAAAATCCACGTTTCTTTGGTCCTTGAAAAAATATTCTTTAAAAATCCACGTTTCTTTGGTCCTTGAAAAAATATTCTTTAAAAAATCCACATTTCTTTGGTCCTTGAAAAAATATTCTTTAAAAAATCCACGTTTCTTTGGTCCTTGAAAAATATTCTTTAAAAAATCCACGTTTCTTTGGTCCTTGAAAAAATATTCTTTAAAAATCCACGTTTCTTTGGTCCTTGAAAAAATATTCTTTAAAAAATCCACGTTTCTTTGGTCCTTGAAAAATATTCTTTAAAAAATCCACATTTCTTTGGTCCTTGAAAAAATATTCTTTAAAAAATCCACATTTCTTTGGTCCTTGAAAAAATATTCTTTAAAAAATCCACGTTTCTTTGGTCCTTGAAAAAATATTCTTTAAAAAATCCACGAAAAAATATTCTTTGAAAAATCCTCTTTTCGTGGTCTGTTGGTGGTTGAAAAAATATTCTTTAAAAATCTAGGTTTCTTTAAAAAATCCACGTTTCTTTGGTTCTTGAAAAAATATTCTTTAAAAAATCAACGTTTCTTTGGTCCTTGAAAAAATATTCTTTAAAAAATCCACATTTCTTTGGTCCTTGAAAAAATTTTCTTTAAAAAATCCACATTTCTTTGGTCCTTGAAAAAATATTCTTTAAAAAATCCACGTTTCTTTGGTCCTTGAAAAAATATTCTTTAAAAAATCCACATTTCTTTGGTCCTTGAAAAAATATTCTTTAAAAAATCCACGTTTCTTTGGTCCTTGAAAAAATCCACGTTTCTTTGGTCCTTGAAAAAATATTCTTTAAAAAATCCACATTTCTTTGGTCCTTGAAAAAATATTCTTTAAAAAATCCATATTTCTTTGGTCCTTGAAAAAATATTCTTTAAAAAATCCACGTTTCTTTGGTCCATGAAAAAATATTCTTTAAAAATCCACATTTCTTTGGTCCTTGAAAAAATATTCTTTAAAAAATCCACGTTTCTTTGGTCCTTGAAAAAATATTCTTTAAAAAATCCACGTTTCTTTGGTCCTTGAAAAAATATTCTTTAAAAAATCCACGTTTCTTTGGTCCTTGAAAAAATATTCTTTAAAAAATCCACGTTTCTTTGGTCCTTGAAAAAATATTCTTTAAAAAATCCACGTTTCTTTGGTCCTTGAAAAAATATTCTTTAAAAAATCCACGTTTCTTTGGTCCTTGAAAAAATATTCTTTAAAAAATCCACGTTTCTTTGGTCCTTGAAAAAATATTCTTTAAAAAATCCACGTTTCTTTGGTCCTTGAAAAAATATTCTTTAAAAAATCCACGTTTCTTTGGTCCTTGAAAAAATATTCTTTAAAAAATCCACGTTTCTTTGGTCCTTGAAAAATATTCTTTAAAAATCCACGTTTCTTTGGTCCTTGAAAAAATATTCTTTAAAAAATCCACGTTTCTTTGGTCCTTGAAAAAATATTCTTTAAAAATCCACGTTTCTTTGGTCCTTGAAAAAATATTCTTTAAAAAATCCACGTTTCTTTGGTCCTTGAAAAAATATTCTTTAAAAAATCCACGTTTCTTTGGTCCTTGAAAAATATTCTTTAAAAAAATCCACGTTTTCTTTGGTCCTTGAAAAAATATTCTTTAAAAAATCCACGTTTCTTTGGTCCTTGAAAAAATATTCTTTAAAAAATCCACGTTTCTTTGGTCCTTGAAAAATATTCTTTAAAAAATCCACGTTTCTTTGGTCCTTGAAAAATATTCTTTAAAAAATCCACGTTCTTTGGTCCTTGAAAAATATTCTTTAAAAAATCCACGTTTCTTTGGTCCTTGAAAAAATATTCTTTAAAAAATCCACGTTTCTTTGGTCCTTGAAAAATATTCTTTAAAAATCCACGTTTCTTTGGTCCTTGAAAAATATTCTTTAAAAAATCCACGTTTCTTGGCCTTGTGGTCCTGGAAAAATATTCATTAAAAAATCCACGTTTCGTGGTCTTTTAGTCCTTGAAAAAATATTCTTTGAAAAATCCACTTTTCGTGGTCTGTTGGTGGTTGAAAAAATATTCTTTAAAAATCTAGGTTTCTTTAAAAAATCCACGCGTCTTTGGTTCTTGAAAAAATATTCTTTAAAAAATCAACGTTTCTTTGGTCCTTGAAAAAATATTCTTTAAAAAATCCACGATTCTTTGGTCCTTGAAAAAATATTCTTTAAAAAATCCACGTTTCTTTGGTCCTTGAAAATTTTTGGAGATTTTTTTGAATACTTACCCTCAAACGTGCGGCAGTCAATATTTGTTTGCACGTTATCGGATGAACTATGGCAAAGTAGCGTTCCATGCAAATCACCACCAGAATAAATATTGAGGCTGTATAGCTCAGCGAGTGTACAAATTGATACATGCGGCAGAGGAATTCGCCGAAGACCCAACTGCAAGGAAATCAAATAGAAAAAAAATATTAAAATAAATTCCGGCAAGATTAAAATTTTGGGAAATGAAAATGTTGGTTCATTATCTATTCTCAGTTTCCAAGTGAGTTTACAATCTCTGAAATTCTCCTCAACAATAATTACCTTGAAGATTTCACAGTTAAAACATGTATATCTTCCCACCCACCTCTCCTCCTTCTTCTCCACCACCTTTCCAACTGCATGTCATTCATTACATGCTCCTTTGCATTTTAATTACCTTCAAGGTTTTGCATACCAAGAAATGGTGTAACAATAATTAAGTCTTATTTACAGCAAGGCATTGGCAATGAACAAAAGCCCCTCCTCCCCTTCTCCCTCTTCTACCTTGAATGGAATACTAATGGAATTCCTCAAATTGTTGCAATTAATAAAACCAAAATTAACAAAATGAGAAATTTTGGATGAATGAACGATAAGCGTTAGACAAATTTGTATAACTCATTTGTACCAGACATCAGCATCCTCGGATGGGAGCTAAATCTTTATCTTGAGGTTATTGAACGTCTGTGGAATGCAGACCACAATTAGGGGCTTTTGTTTTTTCTTTATTTGTAAAACATTTAGGATAATTTTTGGTTTGAATTTGGAAATACCTTTGTGATGCGATTTGTTTGTTCTGGAGGTGTTGCTGGTTGATTGAACTTTAATCGGCGAATCAGGACTATTCAAATCCTTGCGATGAAAAAAGGACATTTTCCTAAACTGATGAAGATTTAAAAGCAAGAGCAAAGAACAGACAGCTTCACTGAGCCTGCACAGACCCTTTAAGGGGAAGCAATGCGGACTTGTTCAGATGGATTAATACAGACTCCCTGAGAAGAGTCTCTTCAGACCCCCTTAGAGGTGTCTCTACAGACTTTTTTAGAGCAGTCCTTTAAGACTATTTTTCAGTCGCCTGTTTCCGAGGCTATAGAATCAACGTTGATCACAAAATAGCCACCATCAGTCCCTCGAATACCATTGAACCACCATTAACAACCCGATTGCCATAAAGCTGTTTACATGTATTCCGACTTCAGGCAACTTTCAATCAATCGATCCACATCGACAACCCCACCTCGATCATATACTAGCCAATCATTTACGCAAGATTGTATAAAGAAAAGCCCACAACTGGGAAGCCGAGTCAATCAACTCCACTAAACAAAAAGCCCAATTATAATAAAAATATATACGCCTTATAATCGTTAGGTCCACTTTTAAAGCCCTCGCTGTAATAGCTTACTCCAAAATATATTCAATAACAATGTGCGACAAAATTCAATTTTTTTCAATATTTCCTGGTAAACATTAAATAAATTTCTTTGAATCCAGCAGATTATGAAAGTAGCTCTTTAACAATTAAAAAAGCAGTAAGTTCGGCAGAGCCGAACTTTGAATACCCTCCACCATTTGAAACGAATTTGGCAATTTAAAAAAAATTAAATCCGTTAAAAATTCCGTTACAATCTTATAAATTCTGAAAGTAGCCATTATATTAGGGTCTATACGACGACGTGGACCTGCATAGGCAAGCTTTGTCACTAGCCATCAAAATATTCAAATGCGAAATTTAGAAAAAAAAAAATCGGTGAAAAATGTAGCCAAAATCAACAAAATACCCAACAAAGAGAGGTACTTTATATGGGGGCTATACCAAAACGTGGACCTACACGGACAATTTTCTTTCTTAGGCTGTAGTATCCATTACGAACTTCAAAAACCAAATTTGAAACAATTCAGATAAATAATGTCGCTAAAATCATCAAAATACTGAATACCGGGAGGTAACGTTATATGGGGGCTATACGAAGACGTGGAAGTGCACAGAAAATTTTCTGTCGTAGGCTGTAGTATCCCTTACGAATACAAATACCAAATTTTAAACAATTCCGGTGAATAATGTCGCCTAAATCACCAAAATATCGAAAATAGGGAGGTACCATTATATAGGGGCTATACCAAAACGTGGACCTACATTGCCCATTTTCAATACCAAAATTCCTGCAGACATAATATACATTGGAGTACAATTTTATCAGCTTACTTCATTTCGTTCGGAAGCTAGAGTGATTTCCGGAGACGGACAGACGGATAGACGGACGGACTTCGCAAGAATATATATATATATATATATATATATATATATATATATATATATATATATATATATATATATATATATATATATACTTTGTGGGGTCAAAAGTATATATTTCGAGGTATTTTAAACGAAATGACAGGCCTAATATACCCTATGTGGACACGACACGTGTATCGGCGTTTTTAAAAGTTTAAATGGAAAAGTAACCAAAATGGTGGGGGCAAGTTCTCCCTTTTTCCACAATTTTGAAATTTTTCAGATTAAGATTCATCAGGATCCGTGCATTTTAGATATATAGTGGTGTCTTTTCGGTCCTTTTTCTAAGATATGATCAAAAAGCTCCTATAATCTGTATCGTAATAAGTCAAAATATTCTATAAAATTATTTGCCATAGAATTTTCTTATGGGTCCTAAACTAATCTTTTTGCCCTACACCACAAAGTCGTAAGGGTATTACGTCTCTGTGCATTTCTTTGTAATATGAAGAGGAAAGCGAGATAGACCCATAATTACGTTTGAGGATCTTCATATAATCACTTTCTGAGTCGATTTATGCATGTCAGACCGTCTGTCCGTCCGTCCATGTATTCTTGTGAACAAAATGTAGGTCGCATTTATTATCCGATTGAAAAGAAATTTTGCAAACAATATTTGTTTGGTCCATGGAGAAACCCTATTAAAATTGGTAAGAATCTGTTCAAATTTAGGTATAGCACACATATATATCTTTAACCGATTTTGGGTAAATTGTGCACCAAATGTCAAATATCAGACCAAATGAACTAAATTTTTGCAATTCCGACGGAATTCAGTCTAGAAAAAAATACTTCAAATTTCCTAAAAATCGGTTCAGATATATTTATAGCTCCCATATATATGGTTTTTCTAATTTGTACTAAAATCCATCATTTTCGTAATATGCACTTCACAAAAAAATGCTATTTAATACCACACATCATATACGGCTCGAAAATTCCTCTGCCAAATTTCATCGAGATCGGTTCCTATTTTGATACAGCTTCGATATACATCTTCATCCGATTTTACGGTTATTGTCCATCATATATGTAATATCAGCCCAAATTGAATAGGTTTTTTATACTCAACCTAAATTTACCATTTGGTGAAACTCCGTTCGGTACATTTGTTGCTCCAAAAAATATTTTTTAATATAATCCTTATCGAAGTTATATTATGCATTATACAGCAATGATATTTGGATGAAAATCGATTTAGAGTTGGATATGGTTCCAAAATTGTGACTATTTTAAAGCCATGATTCGCATTTAAATAAGATTTACAGTTAATATGATCTACTTCTACTAAATAGGCATAGTGGCGTCGGATATCATATGGTCGGCCCTGTCGACTTCGACATTTCCTTTGTATTTATACCCTACACCACAAGGTGGTCAGGGTATTATGTCTTTGTGCATTTGTTCGTAACAGGTAAAAGGAAACGAGATAGACCCATAGTTCCTTTTGATGATCTGCATAGAATCACTTTCTGAGTTGATTTATGCATGTCAGTCCGTCTGTCCGTCCGTCCGTCTGTCCATGTATTCTTGTGAACAAAATGCAGGTCGCATTTATTATCCGATTGAGATGAAATTTTGCAAACAACATTTGTTTGGCCCAAGGACGAACCCTATTGAAATTGGAGATAATCGGTAAAAATTTAGATATAGCTCCCATATATATGTTCGTCCGATTTGCCTTTTATTGTGCAGCAAACGTGTAATATCAGCCCGAATAGTATGGAATTTTGCACATACAACCAAATTAGGCCTGAAAATAAGTATCGATCCGATTTACCTTTTATTGTGTACCAAACGTCTAATATTTGGGATGGCATTTGGCACTTACGACCGAATTGAGTGAAGAAGGTAGTATGTCAAATTTGGTGAAGATCGGTTCAGATAAAGTTACAGCTCCCATATATACTGTTCATCCGATTTGTCATATTTGTTACCCACAGCCGTAATATGCACTCCGTAACAACGTTATTCAGGGAAATATATCAAATACAACTCAGAAATATCTTTGCCAAATTTTATCGAGATCGGTTCCGATATATACCTTTATCCGATTTCAAATTAATTGTGCACCAAATGGGCAATACAATTCCGAATTTAAAATATACAAATGCTTCGGCATAGTTAGTCCTTTGAACTTTAAATTATACTTATAATCCTAGTGTTTATGATTGAATTCTCCCATAAAAAACTTTTAATTGTTATGCGGAGCTCTACTAAATTAGCAAAGTGGTGTAGGGTATCATAAAGTCGGCAACGCCCGACTTTAAGGCTTTCTTTACTTTATTGTTTTTATACCCTCCACCATAGTTGGGGGGGTATATTAACTTTGTCACTCCGTTTGTAAAACCTCGAAATACACATTTTTGACCTCACAAAGTATATGATGGTCAGCATAAGACTCTATGTCGATTTAGCGATGTCAGTCCGTCTGTCCGTCTGTGAAAATCACTCTAGCTTCCGAACGAATTGAAGTAAATTGATAAAATTTTACTCAAATATATATTATGTCTGCAGGACTTTTGGTAATTTAAATTGGTCGTGTAGGTCCACGTTTTGGTATAGCCCCCATACAACGGTACCTCCCGATATTCGGTATTTTGATGATTTTAGCGATAATATTCATCGGAATTGTTTCAAATTTGGTATTTGAAGTTCGAAATGTATACTACAGCCTAAGGCAAAAAACTGTCTGTGCAGGTCCACATTTTCGTATAGCACCCATATAACGGTACCTCCCGATATTCGATATTTTGATGATTTTAGCGACATTATTCAACGGAATTGTTTCAAATTCCGCATTTGAAGTTCGCAATGAGTACAAACTGGGTACATCGTAATATTTTTGTCAAACTTTGATCGAGTTCGTAGATGGGCAATGTCGGTCCACTCCTTTTGGTACCTCCCCCACAAAAGTTCGAATTTTCGAAGAAAATAATTTACTGCACAGAAAGAGAAAGAATAGTCCGATTTTGCTCCCACTTTGCACATCCTAATATTTGCGTCAGTGCTAGGTCAGGAGTGAAAATGGACAAAATCGGTCCTCTTCATCAAGTACCTCCCCCACAAATGGTCAAAATTTTGAATAATTACAACTCTCATAAAATGTGATGTAAGAGTCTGATTGTCTTCAAATTTCACACATTCCAATATTTATATTAACCCAAGGTCTGGTGTTAAGATGGGCACCACCACATGGGTCCACTCCTTCTGGTACCTCGCCCACAAATGGTCGAAATTTGCAAAAAATAGAAAATATATTTTCTGCACAGAAAGAGAAAGGCTAATCCGAATTTGCTCCGACTTTGCGAATTCTAATATTTGCGTCAGTGCTAGGACAGGTGTGAAAATGGACAATATCGGTCCACTCCATCAAGTACCTCCCCCACAAAATATTGAAATTTTGAGTACCCATGAAGCTCATAAATCGCCAAATTAACATCCGATTCCATTTAGACTTGGCACATCAGTCGAAATATTTATATCATATTTTGGGTCCGATAGGAAATGGGCAATATTGACCCATTCCTTCGGGATCTGCTCCATAGAGAGTCAAACGTTTGAATAACCTTAACACTAGTCAAAATATATTTAGATAATCGAACATAGGCTGAGGGTATATCTCTGGCGGCAATACTGACGGATACTTTTTAACTTGTTAAGATTTTAACAGAATTTTGAATGGATTTTATTTTTTTGAAAATTGCCAAATTTGTACCAAAATGTTGGATAGAATTTAAAGTTCGGCCCGGCCGAACTTACAGTTTTTTTACTTGTTATTTTTAATTTTTATATTATTTTTATTATTATCTCTGTTGATGTCTGTGGTTAAGATATGGAGGTGGTATATCTTAACCACAGACACCAACGAAGACCTAAATTACCAATTTCGGGATTCCAGCCTTATTCCTTCACCCAATACCAAATTAAGTGACATTTAGTAGCTTTGTTAAAAATATAGGAGGCATTTCCAAAAAAAAAAAAAATAGTAAAGAAAGTCTTAAAGTCGGGCGGGACCGGGAATATAATTTAAAGTTCAAAGGACTAAATATGCCGAAGCATTTTTATCTTTTAAATTCGGACTTGTATTGCCCATTTGGTGCACAATTAATTTGAATCGGATAAAAATATATATGGGAGCTATATCCAAATCGATAAAATTTAGCAAAGGTATTTCTGAGCTGCATTTCATATATATCCCCAAATATTGTTGTTACAGAGTGCATTTTATGGCTGCGGAGGACAAAAATAACAAATCGGATGAAAAATATATATGGGAGCTATAGCTATATCTTAGCCGAATCAAATTCGCCATACTTATTTTCAGGCCTAATTTGGTTGCAAGTCCAAAATTCCATACTATTCGGACTGATATTACACGTTTGGTGCACGATAAAAGGCAAATCAGACGAAGATATATATGGGAGCTATATCTAAATTTTTACCGATTATCTCCAATTTCAATAGGGTTCGTCCTTGGGCCAAGCAAATGGTTTGTGTACAATTTCATCTCAATCGGATAATAAATGCGACCTGCATTTTGTTCACAAGAATACATGGACAGACGGACGGACATGCATAAATCGACTCAGAATGTGATTCTATGCAGATCATCAAAAGGAACTATGGGTCTATCTTCTTTTCTTTTGCCTGTTACAAACAAATGCACAAAGACATAATACCCTGACCACCTTTTGGTGTAGGGTATAAAAATATTATTATTATTTTTAATAATATTAATGTTTATGTTACAACCATTAAACATTCAGTTATTATTATTATTATTATTATTATTATTATTATTATTATTATTATAATTATTATATTATTATTAGTATATATTATTTATTATTTATTATTATTATTATTATTATTATTAATTATTATTATTATTATTATTATATTATTATTATACTATTATTAGTATTATTATTATTATTATTATTATTATTATTATTATTATTATTATTATTATTATTATTATTATTATTATTATATTATTATTATTATTATTATTATTATTATTATTATTATATTATTATTATTATTATTATTATTATTATATTATTATATATATTATTATTATTAATTATTATTATTATTATTATTATTATTATTATTATTATTATATTATTATTATTATTATTATTATTATTATTATTATATTATTATTATTTATTATTATTATTATTATTATTATTATTATTATTATTATTATTATTATTATTATTATATTATTATTATTATTATTATTATTAATTTTATTATTATTATTATTATTATTATTATTATTATTATTATTATATTATTATTATTATTATTATTATTATTATTATTATTATTATATTATTATTATTATTATATTATTATTATTATTATTATTATTATATTATTATTATTATATTATTATTATTATTATTATTATTATCATTATTATTATTATTATTATTATTATTATTATATTATTATTATTATTATTATTATTATTATTATTATTATTATTATTATTATTATTATTATTATTATTATTATTATTATTATTATTATTATTATTATTATTATTATTATTATTATTATTATTATTATTAATAAAATTATTATTAATAATAATACGATTGTTATTATAGCTCTTTTTATGTTGTCGTAATTTTTTTCTGTAAATTTTTAATTTTTTGGTTTGGCATGAATTTTTCTTTTAAGAATCCTTTCTAATTGCTGGTATTCTTCTCAAGATTTCGCAGCAGAATAATTTCATAAAAATGTCTTAATTATTTGAAATGCTTTTGTTAAATTTACAATGTAGGCACACACACAAACACATTTCACAGCTTTCTTGTTATAGCGTTTACGTGGTTAAGAGTCGTGCTAAAGAGTTTCTTGAAAAAAAAAGTGAATGACGTCAAAAGTGCATAATTAATTTTAATTAAATATTTTCAGCTTTTAACATGAATACATATGAAAACATGTAAGTATGCAGGATACATACATACGGAAATTCTAAGATTTTTTTTTTTTTACAAGAAAATAAGAGTACAGCAAGGTTATTGTTGTTCATTTCTTCAAGAATTCTTTCTCTGTGTGTGGGTGCGGGAAATAATTTTTCCCATAGAAACACGTTTAATGAGCAGCAAATTCAGGAAACTTTTTATGAAAAAAAAAAAAAAATTAAAATAAAAAATAACTTGTGAGAATTTTCATTTGCATACTATGTATTTTTAGGAATTTTATTTGCAGAATTGTCCAAGAAAAAAATCTTTACAGTTTCCTTGATTTCCCATTGTATTCTCTTCTATTCTATTCAATTCAATATTGATTGATTTGTTAGATTGAAAGATTCCTATACAAAGAGATATATATTACCTTCCACTTCACCTGGAGTGCATTCAATATTCTTTGTTTTTTTTTTGTAATTATTTTTTGTATTATTTTTTTCTTTCTTCTTCTTCTTCTTCTTTATTGTTTATTTTGTATAGAAAAGGCACTATATCTACTGCTACTTACCTGTCTATCAAATATATCGACAGATTTTGCATAACACAAAAGAGACCAACACAAAAGTCTGCCAAAGCCAAATTGGCCAAAAAGAAATTTGTAATGGATCGAAGGCGACGAGACAATGTAACAACCAGAATAACAAGCAAATTGCCTGGAAAGAAAAGAAGAAAGAGAAAAAAAAAATAAAATTGAAAATTAACAAGTTTATTGAATTTTTTTCTTGGATGCAACGAAGACAATAACAGATTGAGATTTATTGGCAATTTGATGGGTGGGAAAATATTCAAAAAAAAAAAAAAAATGGGAAGTTTTATGGGTTTATATTGTATTAATATTTATAAAATGCATTATATTTTTTATAACAAGTTACAATTTGGGAGGTTGGCCTGCCAAGCCAGAGACTGACTTTGGCTCACAAACTTGCTAAAGCCATTCCCTGGCTAAACAGACCATATAAGGAAACTTCTTCTTCTCCTCGAGATTATCGGCCAAATGGCCATCGGAAACCCTTATGCCGGTTGCCAAGTGCCTTTTTTGGAGCTTCTTCGATGAGAAATGTTCATTTCCCACTATAAAACTATGTCCTGTGTAACGACAGGGTCTCTCCCCTTGGGCTGGAATAGCTCGTCGGGGTCCAGCGGTTCGTTAGAAATTTATTTGTTGAATGTATGAGAGAGAGAGAGAGAGAGAGAGAGAGAGAGAGAGAGAGAGAGACCAGTGTGGTTTGTTGTTCAATAAATCGTTTTTTCCTTGATTTATTAAATTCCACTAAATTCCGTCGTCCGGATGGGCTCCCTAGGGTTCGTTGATACGAGACCTGGATAAGTACTCGTGGCCTTAGGATTGGTTGCTGGTTGTTAGACTGAGGCCTGGACAAATATTCTCCGGGTTTTCAAGAATTCTGAGAAGTATTAGAGCTACAGGCTGTTGGGCTATTAGTATTAGGAAGATAAGGGAAGATGCAAGGCTACTGTTGCGAGAAATCTGAATAGGTACTCAAGCATTACAAGGATCTAGGATACGGTTGCAAGAGATCTTAATAAGCACTCAAGCATTACAGGATATTCAAGGATACGGTTGCGAGAGACCTTAATAAGTACTCAAGCACTACAAGGATCTAGGATTCGGTTGCAAGAGATCTCAATAAGCACTCAAGCACTACAGGATATTCAAGGATACGGCTGCGAGAGACCTTAATAAGTACTCAAGGAATATTCAAGGATAATAAAGGACTCACCAAAGATGTGTTAGGACTCACACAAGGATGTGCAAGGATATAAGGATTTGATCCCAGGACGCCCCGAATGGAATTGATGATGGTTACACTTACCGCGTTAGAAATTGCTGCTTCCGTGGTCTGGCACTGACTGTCCCCATTCCAAGTTTGATCTCCCTTTTATATAGGAGTCCAAACACGGTCTTGTGGTAGATTAACGAGACCTTGTTTACTCTATTTGAATATCTCAACAACATAATCAGAGAACATTATAACGGGACATCTCCCTCTCTCGCCCCTGCTCTCTCTACTCTTAACGAGCCCACGTGTTTTAAATAGGACTTTCCTGCACTAAAAAGTCACTCTCGATTTAATGGCACTTGATTTGATAACTTCTTGGACCGCTTGATTATCATCGCTGGTTCTGTTATGCCATTGCCGAGTGCTTCTACCATTTTGGCTGCCTTCTCGATTGCAAGAATCCGCGCCTGAACAAAGTTTTAATTGTCATTAATCTGACATGAGTGTTTAATGATTGGAATCGAACCCTCCAGAAATCGTTTAGAGTTCGATCAGACATTTCTGAGAGGTCCAAGTTCCAAAAAAGCTACTTGGAAACACCTTTAGAAGACCTCCGCAGCCTAATCACTCTCTTTGCTTAAGGTATTTCATATAAATCACTTAAATCAGAACCCTTCAGAAATCGTTGAGAATTCGATCAGACATTTCTGATAGGTCTGAATTTCAAGCATCCAAGGATATTTTTCAGATAGTTATTTTGGAATCTTCTTTAGAAGACCTTTTGGAACCTCATCAAACGCTTCACATAATGTATTTCATAGCAATCGCTTAATTCGGAACCCCTCAGAGTTCGATCAGACATGTCGGACACCAAGCATCCAAGGTTCTTATCACAACCATTATTGGAGAATTTTCTCAGAAGCCATTCAAAGCTCCATACGGCCCTTTATTTGCTGTATTTCATATCGAACAGTTGAAGCAGAACCCTTCTCAAATCACTCAGAGTTTGATCAGACATGTCTGACGCCAAGAATCGAAGATTTTTCTCAAGTTTTATTGAGAACTTCTTCAAAAGTCCTTCAGCACTCCTTTAGGCCCTTTATTGATTGTCTTTTATGTGAAACACTTGAGGCAGAAACTTTCTCAAATCGTTCAGAGTGCGATCAGACATGTCTGACTTGAAGTATCAAATTATTCTTTTTAGGAATTTTAATTGCAATTTTTTTAGAAACCTCTCAAGCCCTTTATATATTGTATTTCATGTCAAACACTTAGACAGAACCCTTCACAAATCGTTCAGAGTTAGATCCAACATGTCTGACTTGAAGTATCCAATGATTTTTTTAGAAATATTAATTGTAAATTTCTTAGGAAGACATTCATAACTCCTTACGAACCTTAACATTATGAAAGAGTTATTTCATATCAATAACTTAAACCAGAACTCTTTAGAACTCACTCAGAGTTCGATCAGACATGTAGGATAAACAAAACCACTTTTTTTTGAGTTTTTTTATGATATTTTGTAGGAATATTAATTGCAAATTTCTTTAGATGGCATTAAAAAACCCATCAGGACCTTTACATGGTGAATCAAGTATTTCATATCAAACTTAAAACTAGAACCCTTTAGAAATCAACCAGAGTTAGATCAGACATGTCTGACACCAAGAATCTTTTTTTTTTATTGAGAACTTCTTTAGAAACCTCTCAGGCCATTACATATTGTATTTTATGTCAACCACTTGAAGCAGAACCAAGCACAAATCGGCCAGACATGTTTGATCCAAGGATTTGTTTTTCGGAAATTTAATTGGGAGCTTTTTGGGGAAACCTATAGAACAATATTAGACCACGTTATGCGCGTCATTCACTTAAACCTCAAACCTTTGGAAATCGTCCAGACTTTTATCAGACATGTATGACTTCAAACATCCAAACTTTTTCTTTTTTTGAGTATGTATTGCAATTTTCTGTAGAAGATCTTCAGAGTTCCATCCGGACCTTTATATTATGAACGAGTTATTTTATGTCAATAACCTAAACTAGAACCCTTTAGAAATCACTCAGAGTTCGATCAGACAAGTCTGACACCAAAAATCCAAGGTTTTTTCACAACTATTTTTGGAGAACTTTTTGAAAATCCATCCAGAGCTCCATAAGATCCTTTATTGATTGTATTTCATGCCAAACTCTTGAAGCAGAACCCTTCACAGTTCGATTAAACATGTTTGACCTGACATTGATGGATTTCTTTGGAAATTTAATGTTGAGCTTTTCTATAAAACCCACAGAACTTTGTCAGACCACTTATATCACATCAATCACTTCAAACATAAGCCTTCAGAAATCGTTCAGAGTTCGATCAGACATGTATGACTCCAATTATCCAATGTTTTTTAAGGAATTTCAATTGCAAATTTCTTTAGGAGACATTTTTAATCCCATAAGGACCTTTATATTGTGAACGAGTTATTTCATATCAATAACTTAAACAAGAACCCTATAGAAATCAGTCAGAGTTCGATCAGACATATCGGACAACATGATTTCACATTTTTTTAAATTTTGTTAAGATATTTTCTAAAAGCCTCTCAGGCCTTTTATTGGTTGAATTTCATGTCAAAAACTTGAAGCAGAACCTTACACAAGAGTTCAGAGTCAGAGTTCGATCAGACATGTCTGATCTACGTAACTCCTATCATTCAATTTTTTTTTTTTTTTTTTTTTTGGAAATTTTATTTGGACCTTTTTTAGAAAATCACAGAGCCATCAGACCACGTTATACAAATCAATCATTTCAACAAACTTTCGGAAATCGTTCAGACTTAGATCAGACATGTATGACTCCAAACTTTCAATCATTAATTATTATTTTTTTATATATTTTTGAAAATTTAATTTGGAGCTTCTGTAAAAGAGCTACAGAAGTCTATTAGACCACGTAATTCACATCAATCACTTCGACCACAAACCTTTGAAAATAGTTCAGACTTGGATCAGACATGTCTGACTCCAAGCCACCAATTATTTTTTGGGGGGAATATGTATTGGGAATTACTTTAGAGGACCTCACATCTCCATCGGAACCTGTACATAATGAATCGAGTATTTCTCTTTAAGCAGAATCCTTTAGAAATCACTCAGAGTTCGATCAGACATGTCTGACATCGGGAATCGAAGATTTTTCACAAGTAATATTGAGAACTTCTTGGGAAGTCCTTCAGAACTCTATCGGAACACGCATTTCATATCAATCACTTAAATCATATTCCTTTCAGAAATCGTTCAGAATTTGAACAGACATGTCTAACTGCAAGAAAACAATATTTTTTCTAAGAATTTTAATTAGAAGCTTCTTTAGACGACTTAAGGGCTCCCACAGACTTTTTTTCAACTGGAAACCAAGTATTTCATTTCAAACAGAAGCCTTCAGAAATTGTTCAGAAGAAATGTGGATTTTTGAAAATGTATTTCCAAGGACAATCAGAGAAAGCCAAAGGCAATAAATTGAAGGTCCATGAAGGCTATAAAACCTAAACGTGGACCATGAGCTGGATATTTGAAAAATATTATACCATCAGACCATATATTTGATATTTCAAGGACGACCTGGCTATAAAGCGTAGATTTTTTAAAGAATTTTAATTCAAGAATTATCTGGCCTCGAAACGTGGATTTTTTAAAAAACATATTTCAAGGACCATATGGCCATGAAACTTGGATTTTTTAAAGAATATATTTCAAGGACCATATGCTATGAAACGTGGAATTTTAAGGAATATTTCTTCAAGGACCGAAGGACAAGAAACTTGGACTTTTTAAAAATTATTTTCCCAAGGACCAAAGGACAAGAAACGTGGATTTTTTAAAGAATATTTTTTCAAGGACCAAAGGACAAGAAACGTGGATTT